GGGAGGGACCGGGAGTCCGAAAGCAGCGAACCGACGCCAAGGCCCAGTGAGCTCCCCAATGAGAGGAACACAAGGGAGAAGCAGGCCTGGGAAGCGGGGCGATGGGTCTGCCGCTCCGGAAACAAGCCTGGGCTGAAGACAGAGCACCCGCGGAGCCAGCCACGGGCAGCGGGTGGGGGGGCCGGGTCCCGCAGCCTTTGCCCTGGCCTTGACCTGGCCCAGGACAGCTGGCTCCTGACCTCGTGAGCCCCCAGGGCTCCGTGCAGATGGGAGCCAGCTGAGGTGCCAGCTGCAGAGCAGGAATTGTCCCTCTCACAGAGGGGAGGCTGGGCCATTCAGACTTTCCTTCCCAGACATCCAGGTCACCGTGGGCCACCTGAGTGAGCCACCGCCATGGCCTCAGAAAGAGTCCTGAGTCAGAAAAATGGATACGCAGTGGCTGAGAGAGGACACTACCGGCGTGCCCACGGACATACCTCCTCAGGCAGCTGAAATCACAGGTGGTCCAGGGAGGTGGCCCAGGACCCAAAAGGTATCCACTGCCACACTCATCATAAGCCTCTCCCTCATTTGTCCCCTACGAGTCTCCATTGGTGGCCGTGCAGAGCCGATGATGTGTCTACAGCAAACACGTAGTCTTTACTTTGGGACAGGCTCTGTTCGGAGCGCTGTACCTGACAACAATGCACAGGCAAAGACTGAGTCACAGAGCGGCAACACAGCAGGCCTGGGACAGGGCCCTGGAGCCGCTGGCACCAGTGGTCAAACACGAACCACGCTGCTCTGCCTTTGGGTGTCAACAGCAACCAGCACAGTGCCTGGCACAGAGCAGCACTTCCGGAATGCGAGGGAGGTCCACCGAGCCACCCTTTCACACGCTGTGCCGTTTGGCCAAGGCTGGCAGTAGAGCGGGGCGGTGTGCAGCAGCTGGCCCAGGCCAGGAGCGAGGCCCAGGCCTCCACGCAGGGGCTCCTTAGAGGCAGCTGCGGCTAATCTCAGAGGGCTTCTCGGAGGAGGAAGCCCTTAGGTAAGTAGGAAGCTGGAATGGCTGCTCATCCCACTTCCAGGGGCAGCTGTCCGACGTCAGGCACGGCGCACACCATGAGGGTGCCATCAAGACAGCAGGGACGACAGTCACAAGAACGGCGTACTCTCCCACACTGACCAGGCTTCTGCTTTGCCTGACACATTTGCGTGTTTCCTGCACTCTGATCCTAACAAATGAGACTTTGATACTCTCTAACTTAGTTTCCTTCCTTCCTCTCTTTGAACCCTGTGAAGCAGGGGGCAGAGATGGGCAATGCTATCCTCCCAATTGTACAAATAAATTACAGCACAGAAAGGTCAAACGAGTAGCTTTGGGTGACACAGCCCTGCATGTTGAGACTAAAACCCAGACTGCAACGTTGGTCTGGTGCTCCTCCTCAGACGCCCTGTGCCGCCGGAGTGAGGGACGCTCGGCCCTGGCCCCACCAATGAGAGAAGCGTCGAGAAACCTGCTCCAGGAAGGTGCACGCAGCGGAGCCCTCGGATCCTAAATTTTTCCCTATCGCCTCGATTCGCAGGGTGCGAAGAGTTCGTCACCACCAGCACCCACCCCCTTCTCAAGCAGACCTCCTGTCAGGCGGGAGGCCCTCGGCCGGCTGTGTGGACGTGCACCCAAAGCGTCCGTGCGTCCTCCTGCACAGGATCCAGTTGCGGAGCCCAGGAACTGAGCCCAGGGGCCTGGCCCCTGCCAGCAGTGGAAGCAGGCGCAGAAGGCAAGGTGATTTATGGGGTCAGACGGCCTTGTTCCGTGCAGCCTCACCACTAAATTACCCTGGACAGCGACTCGTCCTATTTGAGCTTCGGCATCAACTGTAACATGGAGCTAATGGCATCCTTCCCGCAAGGTGGTTGCGAAGATTAAATCAAAGTTCTGATGGGAAGCTGTCTGCCCAGCACCTGGGCTCGAATCCCACGCTTCCCTGCCCTGCTGCCCACAGTTAGAGATGGGGTCCCGCGCCGCCAGCTAGACACAGCTGGTGGGTGGGGGCGGGGGGAGGAGCCTCAGCGGACGTGGCAGTCAGGCAAGGAAGCCCACTGGTCCTCTGGGAGTGACACCTGAGAGGGAAGCCCCTGTGGTCTTCTGTGTTCATAGATGTGATGGGCCACTGCGGTGGCGAGGCGGGGTGAGCATGGGCACACTGTCCTCACACCCCCGCCTTTCAGGGACCGTAGTCACCAAGCCCAGGAACCAACAGCTTCCCTGGGCGGCGGCAGCTCACACACCGTGGCTGTCCCCCGCCCTTCCCTCTGCTGAAGGCAGGGCCTGGTCCCCACGCAGGAGACAGACCGAAGGGGAAGGGAGAAGCTGGGGTGTGGCCCGCCCCAGGGAAGGGACCAAGGGGCTCACCAGCTGTTCTTCTGTGGCCCAAAACAGGAGAGGATGACTGGAAAGCCAGCTGACAGTGACTCGGCGCCCAGGTGAAGCCAGCCGCCTCGCTGCCCTGTGAGGTGGTTTGCTGTCCCGCTCAACAGGTAAGGAAACTGAGGCTCGGAGAGTTTAAAGAACTCGCCCAAGTTCACACAGCGAGCAGGTGTCAGAGGGAGGGCGCGGGTCCATGTTCTTCTCACACAGCACTGCCGACCCGAGAGAACTTCCAGACGGAGCCACACCCTCTGCTCCTGAACAACTGTCATCATGGGTTGTTTTATGTTTAATTTCCTTCTGTAGTCAATTCCTTTGCTGTTGTTGTTCAAACTTAGGCTTTAAAGGGAGGAGGTAAGATGACATATCCCTGAGGCCTTCAGATGAAACGGGTCAGAGGAAGATCCCAAAGAGGGAAATGAACGTCGAGGGCTGCTCATTCTACGGGAGCAGTGAAGTGCGGGGGCTGACGACGTGTGTCCTAGAGCCTCGGAGACCTCGTTCAGGTCCTGGAGCCATCGCTTGGTGACCTTGGGCAGATCGCCTCACCTCTCTCTGCCTCAGTTTCCGTTCCCTGAAACAGTGCTGATGTAGGAACTACTAGAACTATAAGGTTAAATGTACTGCGGGGCCAGAGGTGCTTCGCAGTGTCTGACACATGGTAAACACATGCCACCAATTAGCACGATTGTTAATTCTCCCTCAAGAGTTGTTTTTTGTTTTGCTTTTGTTTTGTTTTGTTTTGTTGTCCACATCTTTCGTCTTAACAAAGGAGGGTGAAGAAAATATACAGACATGGTCCAATCCATGAGGCCACTAGGCTTTCATTGGCATAAGGACCAAATGCGACAAGAAGGAGAAACAGCAGTGGGGTTGGAAGTTTCCAGGGAGACTTCCAGGAGCTGAAGCAGGGTTCTGGGGACAGTTTGGTGACAGAGATGGGAATGGCTGAGACCTCAGGGAAGACTGGGGGAGGGGGGCAAGCTCATAAGCGGAGAAAATGGGGCAACAAAAACCGGGTGACTGGGCACACAGAGAAACAGCCAAAAGCTGGGCTGGAGGCGTGAGTTCGGCGGGGAGTTTCGTAGGGAGGCCGAGTGGGAAAGGCATCATCTGTGGAGTGTCTGCCGGGTGCTAAACTCACTCCATAAATAACTTCACCCTTAGACAGACCGTGAGGTGTTTGCATTGTGCAGATGAGGACACCCAGGTCCAGGGATGCGGCTTAACCTGCCTAGTAACTGGGCAGGGATTTAGGTCTCAACCTTGTTGGTTCCAAAACACCCAGGACACACTCTGGCTGGGACATTGACGGCTCAGCTTCAAGGAGCTGGAAACCCTGCCTTATAATCCATCATCTGTTATCCCCAGAACTCGCTGAGGTCACCGCCCTCCCAGACAGCCTCCCCAGACCCCCCTCCCAAGCTCTGGGTAGCTACCCAGATGAAATGGCAGAACCCCACAGAGCTGGACCTTCTGGCCTCTCCGAGCTTCCATCACAGGCTACCAGCCGCGAGAGGAGGTTGTCTGAGCAAGGAGGGTCCGGCAGACGCCTTCCTGGGCCTCTGCATTGCAGTCTGGGCTCAAGGAACCACTGTCGGGAAGAGGGATTCTGACAGGGATCTGGAGAACGGAACTCGTGGGGGCTTGGGGCTGCGGGGTGACTCCCGAGGGCACCCTGGACTTTCTCAGGTCCCCGATCTGGACAGAGGGCAGGCTGCGCTTTCCACACGCATTCTTTCAAGAGCACAGCGCATCCTCTCGGGTGCAGGGTGCCGTGAGCTGCACGCCCCACTTCCGACCGCCGAGTTCCAGCAGGCTTCCTGAGGTCCCTGAGGGACCAGGTCGGTGAGTGGCTGGCCCTTCCCCAGGGCCCATGCAGGTCCCCTAGCCTTCCCTGCCGCGTCCCCGGGGGGAGGGGCCGGAGGACCGGCTCTGCAATCCTGCGGGCCCCTGCGGCTCCTCGCGGCGGGGGCCCACGCTGCCGCAAGTTTCTGCCACGCTGCGCCCCGCACCTGCTGCGTTCCTCGCGAGGCCAAAGCTACGGCGGGCGGCGGGGTAAGAGGGCGGCGGAGAGGCAGAGCTGGAGGAGGGGGCTGAGAGAGGGTCTTCGGATTCGGCCTCGCAGCAGCATCGTCATGATCACGACACCTGTCCCGCGGGGCTGGGTCCCTCCCCGGCCCGGGGATGGCGGCTCTCCTTTGTCTCCGCCTTGCCTGCTTCCTTACGTTGGCGGGAGCCCCTCCTGACCTCTCCCCAACTTCTCCCCCAGCTCCCCGGCCCCGGCGGCGCCCGGCTGAGTTCTCCACGAGGTTCTGGTTAGTGAGCCGGCCTCCGCCAAGGCAGGGGGTGTTTTCCTGGTGGGGCGGGGGCCGGCCGCGGGGGCTCAGCCGGGCGGCCAGCGCGGCGGTGGCGGCGGGCGCGCGCCCCGCCGGCCCCTTTAATTGGAGTTCGCAGCCGGCCAGGTGCGGCGCTGCGGGGCGCGGGGCGGCGCGGTGCGGCTGCGGGCGGCGGCCGGGCGCTCCGTACGCGCCGCCCGCCGACTGCAGAGCCGTCCCCGGCTGGCCGCCCGCACCCGGCTGCAGCCGCCGCGGTCCCGCCGGCGCTCGCGGTCTCCCAGGAACATGGAGACGCCGGGCGCCCGTCCGGAAGGGTAAATGGGTGTCGGGGCGCTGGGCTGCTCGTGCCGCTCCGCCGCCTGGGCTGCGGCGTCCGGAGGGGCTGCGGGGCGCCGGGCGCAACCTGCAGCGCGGCGGGCCAGGGCCGAGTCCCGGGCGGGTGGCCGGGACCGGGGCCGGGCCGGGGTGGGGCGGACCAGGGGGGCTGGCGCCCTGCGGGAGGAGAAGGCACCGACCGAGCGGGCTCGGGAATCCTCCGGGAGGTGCGTGGCGCGGGGCGGAGGGTGCCGCTCGGAGCCGGCGGGTGATGGGAAGTGCGGCCACTGCATAGCGGTGTCTGGTAAATAGCGCCGGGTGGTGGGACCCGAACCACTTGGGACCGTGGGCTGCAGGCGCCTCTCCGACTCGGAACCGACACGGCTTTGCGGCCGAGCAGGGCTTTTCCGCTTCCCCCGGGCCGCGGGCGGCCGCGGAGCCCCCGCGCTCCCCCGGAGGCTCGGGTCCGGGGCGGCCGCCTGATCCTCGCCCCCAGAGTTCAGGCTCGGGTGTTTGCGGGTGGGGCGGAGCCTCGGTGGTCCTTCGGCTGGAGCCCTAAGGGCAGAAGAGCCGGGCAGTGCTCGCGCCGCAACAAGACACCCCCGACACACACACACACACATACACACACACACACACACACACACACACCCCACACCCCCGGGCAGGAGGGGGTTAAGGTGCCTCTGGATGCCGCGGGCAGCTGGTGGGTCTCGGCCGGCAGCTCAGGGCGCGGGGCGCGCGCGGCAGAATCCCAGCTGGAGCCCCGAAAGCTGGGGAGAGAGCCTAGACCCCTGCCGCCCCGGGACCGGCGGGATCGGGGGCTGGAATGGGGCCGGCAGGGCCAGCTCGGAAGCCGGCCTCCTCCAGGCCCCCGTCTCGCTGCAGCCAAGGCTGCCGGCAGCCAGGCTGGCTGAGCCTCCGCGCTGCCTGCCCTGCCCGCCCTGCCCGCGGAGATGGGAGGGATTGGGGAGAAATCGGTGGTCCAGCGCCTGTCCAGTTCGAATGCCAAGCGCCCGGAGGGAGGCCTGCAGCCTAGGGGTGCCCGAAGGCGGATCAGTCCTGGGCCCGCGCCAGCCCGCTTGGTAGAGCCGCCCTTTCTGGGTGAGGAGTCGCCCTAGGTGAGCGCCGAAGGAGTGTGGGGGGCGTCTGTGGGGACTGTCCTTCCTCCAGCCCCCTGCGGAGGTCGGAGCTGGTGGCAGGCTGCAGGGTAGGAAGCGCTCCCCTTTCCAGGCGCTGTGTCCTGACCTGGAGGTGGGAGGGCTTTGGCCAGAGGCCCTCTCGCTGGCTGCTGAGGACCAACAGGGGATATGGCTCGGCCCAGCGAGGCCCCTGGAGAGGCAGGCCCAGCCAAGCCTGAAGGCTTGTTCCTGGGAGAACAAGCTTCCAGCTGATGGAAGCCTGCCCAGACGAAGCTGGGAGGCTGAAGGGTAGCCTCAGGTGTGCCGCCAGCCGGAATGGAAAGGCGCAGGGAAGGGAGGCTGCTAGAGCCCTCATGAAGCTTGGCACGCGGCTGCCTGCAAGCCCAGGTCCCACCGGCTGCTGTTTTTTCCAGGCCACATCGCACCTCCTGACAGCCAGGAGGACCCCGGCTTTTGCTGATCTTTGCATCTCGCCTCCTTCCTTCCAAAGGTTCCAGACCCAAGGGCAGCTGTGCTGGAGTCCTGTGTGCCCCTGACCAGGCACCCCACCGCCCCTGCAGCCCACCCAGACCCAGAGCTCACCTCCAGGACCTGGAGCCTGCCCTCCTGCCCAGAATGACTCACCATTATTTCTAGCTCAAGCGCAGAGACGTGATGGGGAGCCGGGCTGCCTGTTTGTGGAGCTAGGATTCCCTGACCATCTAATCAGCTTTGCAAGGAAGAGAGCTCCAGATCCCTGCCTTGCCAGGTAAATCAGTCTCTTATTTAATAACAGCCACGTGTGGAGTCATTGCAGTGGGGATACTGCGGGAGACCCAGGTCCAAGGTCTGCCACTGTGAATACCTCCCAGGGTGCAGGTACCTGAAAGACATGTCTTCAGTGGCTGCTGGATGGCTCTCCTCCAGCCTCCAGAATTGGACTATGCTCCTGCGTGCGGCAGGTGCAGAGGGTGCAGAGGGGTCTCTACTGCCCCCTGCCCCCAGGCAGGGCATTCCAAAGCTTTCCTGAGGAGCCTGCCATCTGCTCCTCCCCTGTGAGCCCCAGCCAGGTCACGAGGTGAAATTAAATCGTGCTTTTCGGTGGTGGTGGTCATGCTTGTGAGCTCTTGTCTGAGAGATGGGAGACACAAACCGGCCCCCCAAGAGAGGCTGCTAGTGCTGAGTGGTCTCATGTCTTTAACTGCCTCTGTCTTTCAGCCAAGCTGTGTCGCTGGCTCTCTGGGAGCCCTCGGGGCTCTCCGCAGGAGCCCAGGCCCATGCTCCGGTGTCTCCTGGGGCCACCAGCAGCACCTTGAGCTCCCTGCCGCCAGGCAGCTGGAAGGCGTAGCGTGAGGCGCTTCTCTCAGTCCCAACTATGACAGTGGCCACCGGAGACCCAGCGGACGAGGCTGCTGCCCTCCCTGGGCACCCGCAGGACACCTATGACCCAGAGGCCGACCACGAGTGCTGCGAGAGGGTGGTGATCAACATCTCGGGGCTGCGGTTCGAGACCCAGCTAAAGACCTTGGCCCAGTTCCCAGAGACGCTCTTAGGGGATCCGAAGAAGCGGATGCGGTACTTCGACCCCCTGCGGAACGAGTACTTTTTTGACCGGAACCGCCCCAGCTTTGATGCCATCCTCTACTATTATCAGTCCGGAGGCCGGCTGAGGCGACCTGTGAATGTGCCTTTGGACATATTCTCAGAAGAAATTCGATTTTATGAGCTGGGAGAGGAGGCGATGGAGATGTTCCGGGAAGATGAAGGCTACATTAAAGAGGAAGAGCGGCCCTTGCCCGAAAATGAGTTCCAGAGACAGGTGTGGCTTCTCTTCGAGTACCCGGAGAGCTCCGGGCCTGCCCGGATTATAGCTATCGTGTCGGTCATGGTGATCTTGATCTCCATCGTCAGCTTCTGCCTGGAAACGCTGCCCATATTTCGGGACGAGAACGAAGACATGCATGGCGGCGGAGTGACCTTCCACACCTACTCCAACAGCACCATCGGGTACCAGCAGTCGACCTCCTTCACTGACCCCTTCTTCATCGTGGAGACCCTCTGCATCATCTGGTTCTCCTTTGAGTTCCTGGTGAGGTTCTTTGCCTGTCCCAGCAAAGCCGGCTTCTTCACCAACATCATGAACATCATCGACATCGTGGCCATCATCCCCTACTTCATCACCCTGGGGACGGAGCTGGCTGAGAAGCCAGAGGATGCCCAGCAGGGCCAGCAGGCCATGTCGCTGGCCATCCTCCGTGTCATCCGGCTGGTAAGAGTCTTTAGGATTTTCAAGCTGTCCAGACACTCCAAAGGTCTCCAGATCCTAGGTCAGACCCTCAAAGCCAGCATGAGAGAGTTGGGTCTCCTGATCTTCTTCCTCTTCATCGGGGTCATTCTTTTCTCTAGCGCTGTCTATTTCGCTGAGGCCGATGAACGAGACTCCCAGTTCCCCAGCATCCCGGATGCCTTCTGGTGGGCAGTCGTCTCCATGACAACTGTAGGCTATGGAGACATGGTCCCAACAACCATTGGGGGAAAGATAGTGGGTTCCCTGTGTGCGATTGCAGGTGTGTTAACCATTGCCTTACCGGTCCCTGTCATAGTGTCCAATTTCAACTACTTCTACCACCGGGAGACAGAGGGAGAGGAGCAGGCCCAGTACTTGCAAGTGACCAGCTGTCCAAAGATCCCATCCTCCCCTGACCTAAAGAAAAGTAGAAGTGCCTCTACCATTAGTAAGTCTGACTACATGGAGATCCAGGAGGGGGTGAACAACAGTAACGAGGACTTTAGAGAGGAAAACTTGAAAACAGCCAACTGCACTCTGGCTAATACAAACTATGTGAACATTACCAAAATGTTAACCGATGTCTGATTGCAACCTAGTCACATACTCACAAGCTCAATGGAACTAAATGCAGATATTGCATAAGAGCCTGCATTGTAGTCAGTCTGTTCCACAGTGTGTATCTGGTTCTGCATGGAAAGCAATAGTCGTGCAAGTGACTTTTGAACTTTTGATTTTTGATTTAGAACACAGAATAGCTATTCATGGCTTTCATGTGAATCTTCCTCACCGGCCTAGGGGTTTCCAAAGATGGGAGTCACCTATGGAGCCAGGATTTGAGGCCACCTCATAGCACATACGTAACCCGCCACATGAGATCCACCTTCCCTTCCTGATTCAATGCACACAACACAGTTTCCAGGAGGTGCGCCCCCCGCCCCCACCCACCTGAGCCCACCTGCACGGAGGAGAACTGTGGTGGCTTAGCTTTAGAGTGCTGGTAATTATTCCAGAGGTCGTTCCCATTTTGCACTGAAAAGAACACACGGTCCTGTGTGTCGGAATTCCTGTCTTTGTCACAGGCTGGGGTCTGCGAATCGCAGCTGCCAAGTATATGCTCCGGAGGCTTGTGTTTCATAACGGAAAATGCTGCATTTGGTTTGGTTTGGTTGGTTTTTTTTTTTTCTCTGCAGTGTCGATGAGAGGGAAGCCCGGGGGAGGGACAGTTAGTGTGACCGATTGTGAGTCGTCAAGTTTCACATTTGCTCCCTTAGGCCTTTGGGGAGAAGCTAACAAACCCAGGGGCCTCTCTGCTTCAGATTTCGCCATTTTCGCAGGCTTCAGGGTCGCAGAAGCACATCCGATCTCTTCATGACACGGGAGTTTGCAGACATCTGCTTCCCTGGTGCTGTGGCCCGGCCATGCTGACGCTGCAGTGACATTTTCCAGTGATGCGACAGAGCTGCATGGGTGTTTGTTGCATGACTCTCAATATTTAAAACACAGGAGATAACCTATTTCCTTAGTAGCCTACACAGTATTCACATTTAGAGTATATTTAAAGCCTCGGGGTGGCATGGAACTAGGGGGGTTTTCCCCATCGGAAGATAAAAGCCCTCAGTCAGGAGAGAAGAAAAGAGGCTATTTGGAATGGGGACCCAAAACTTCTGGCCCTCTAGCCCACCCCCTGCCTGTCCTTCCAGATGGGGGCACAGACCTCCGCAAAGCCAGAAGAGTGAGTGGGGGAGGCGGCATCTAAGCACCTCACAGGACTGCACCTTAGGAATTACCTGAGCCGTGGGCATGACTGTACAGCCAACCAGGGCATCTGGTCCTGAGGAAGGCGGATCTGTGGATCCAGTGTGTGTGCGTGTGTGTGTGTGTATACACACACACACACGCACACACACACCTATATATATATATAAACATATATCACGTATCTCTTTCCCAAGTTCCCCTACCTAGCTAGCTCTAGAAACAATTGCATTGGAACCTTGTATAAGCTTATGCAATATTTTTGACACAGGGCAATTTATGCATGTGTTTGACTATGTGCACTATAGAGTATGTATGTATATGTACACATATACATACGTGTGTGTATGTTTATATGCACACACACTCACCTAGATATTCACTCTCTGGAGTTCAGGTTCAGGAGCAGACCCACCGCTTGATGGGCTGGGTATCTAAGAGGCCTCATGGGTTCGTCGGTCGCTTTGGTAACGCCACCGGGCCTGGGTTTGCTGCCATTGCCTCAGACACTCCAGTCTCCATGGATTCTTAGACGTTAGAATTGTCTTTCCGCCCTCCACGTGCTGCAGCTTCAGCTTGCCACGGCTGAGGCTTGTCTTACCGAGTGCACAAGGGCCCCGCGGCACTCACGGCTCCAGCTGTCCTGGGCCAGCTCTGCCCCAGGCCTCCTCTCTACCGTCCCTCGTGGAAACCATCTCCCTTCTCGTCTTTCCCTACCCCATTCAGTTTTCATTGTCACTGGCTCTGCATCGGTCACTTTCACGAACCTTTCCCCAGAGGGCAAGGGTGGATCGCCCGCTTTGAAACCAAGGACACCAGGGAGGAGGGCTCTGGGGACCCAATGCCACAGGTCTGGACCTAAAGGGAGCCGCCCCTACAGGGAAGTTTCTAAGGCCCAGGTCCAATGCGGGGGAGTCCCCAGATGATCCTCAGGCATCGTTTTGATTCACAGGCTCAGACTCGCTCCCTATTGAATTGACAACCAGAGCTGTTTCGGCAAGCCAAAGGGTGGGGAGAGAATCGGTCCCCCGCGCCGCCCCCGGGAGAGGTTGAGAGTGACCGAGCCCCACACAGCCTCCAGGCAGAGTGCAGGCTGGCCCTGGGACGGGAGGAGGTGGGGAGGCTTGGCCTCAATGCCCGGGCTTCTTGGCCTTTCAGCAGAGCAGCTGAAGTTCCGCAGGCACATTGAGCTGTGAGGTCAGGCTGCCCGACCATGGCTGCAGCCCAGGCCTCGCTTTGCTGAGGGCTTTTCGGCGCCTATGGCCACCTTGGGGGTGGGGCACCAGCTCAGGGTGCTAGGCCCAGGGTGCTCATTAGTTCCTGGTCACCCACATCCCCAGGTGTCTGCAGGCTGTCCCAGGCCCAGCGCAAAGCCTCTGTGCTTCTCTTCCTCTCCTCACGGGAGGCGGTGCTGAATTTCCAAGACACAGGGCAGGAGGGACCCAACCCGTAACTAAAGCCAAGGTCAAGGGTGGAGATTTTATCCCGTGTCCCCGACCTGTACCTTTAAAATGTTCACACTCACAGGCACGCGTGCAGGCACACCCACCACAGAGAGGTACACTGTTGCCACATGCAAAGGCAAAACATGCGACACACGTGCAAGATACAGAGACCAAATTAAGGAAAAGGGCACACAAAGAAGATACATGGTTATACGCATAGCCAAGTTATGCATATGCAACACAGACGTAAAATGGACTTCATAGCACAGAACATAAACAAAAGACCTACACACACCAAATGCAAAGACATGGCCTGCTGCCCAGGTACAACTACACAAAAACTACACAAACACAATGAATCTGCCTACAGAATACATAAAGGGTAGTTTACTATTGTTTCTGGATGCAAAATACACACAAACCCAGTTTAAACACACGATGCATTTACTCATACAAAGCACGAAATACACAGCATGCACAACCAAGAACATACACTACACATGAAATGTGTACACGTACTCAGATCCACTCCTCTACCCCCAGACCTCTACATGAATAGGCGTAAACAGAAGATCAGATTGAATCACCTTTCCCTCGCCTGTGTCTCTACCCTTCAGGATCCTTCAAGAAGTTTCTTTTTCTAGTCTCCTCTCTCCCTCTCACCCCCACCCTTCCAAGAAGTAAGCCCCAAAGTTAAAGCAGAAAGATGGGTCACCCATTGTCAAGAATATCTCTGATTGGGACTGGGACTCCCATGGGGCCTCCACCTATTCACCTTCCTCCCACCAGAAACCTGGGCTCAGAGTGTGGAAGGACCTGGGACAGCAAGTGACCTATTAATACACCTCCTTGCCATCCCCTTTCCTTCAAAGCCCCTCTGCACAGAGAGCCCAGCAGCCTGGGCTTCCCAGCTCCTAGCCCCTGGGGTCTCTAGATTCCATTCTTTTAAAAGCAGCAATGGTCCGAGAAACTGCAGGGTCCTGGGTCCAGAACCACAGTGAAGATGCCCACCATACTTTCAGTCCACAGACCTTATTGCCTCTTAGGTGGCTTTGTGGGGACCCGGTCAGCAAGTTGAGACTACGTACAGATTTATCTTTTAAAATGAGCATCCTTCACTTGCTTGTGGTGTCTCATTTGCTCGTGGGCATGAGCCCAGTGGGGTCAACCCCTGAGTCCCCTCGGTGGGCGCTCCACCCCAGGCATGCTCCTCCCCCTCACTGGCCTCTACCTGGATGCCCTGCCTCCCTCCCAATCGCTGCGCCTCAAGGAAACGCGCACCAATCCGGCTTAAGTAAAACATGGCTAAAGCCATACACCTAATGCTACGCAAGCAAATGACAATTTTTAAAAGGGTCTGACTTCGATCCCATATTCCAAGGCCTGATTTAAATGCTTTGTAAGATGACTGGCTGTTTCGGGTTGCCCATAGAGCCGGTGACTTCCCGCCAGGTGGACTAGCTGGGAGCTGGGCACGTTTTGGCCAAGCCTTCCCCTCAAACGGAGGTTGGGGTTTGAAGTCAGGTGTCAGATCATGCATCATGGTCTCTACTCCTGTAGGTGTGTTGCACGCTTCGCTCATCGGTCACAGCTCTGGGTCTCCATGGAGGAAGGCAACAACAGCAGGGACCAGGTGCCTCGGTCCCGATTTGCATGTTTAGTGCAAAAATGCTGGCCTTTCGAGTATTTCCAAGCCAAGATAGCCATTTTCCCTGTAGGTTCAGCAGGTGCCTCCACAGGATCAACCTTTCAAGAAAGTTGGCGTTTTCAGGAGGCTAAAGAGAAAGAGGTTCAGGGAAGGTGGGCAGGTCGTCGGGAAGAGAGGGTTGCTGAGCTGGACAGATTTCAGAGTAGGCTTCAGGAGCCAAATTTAATGAAGGACAGAATTAAGGCTTGGGGCTTCCTGGGGCTTCCGTGGTGTCTGACGCTCTCTCTTCCCTCCTCTCTGCTGCCTCCCTCGTCCCTCTCAGCTCGGGCCCCTGAAGACAGAGTAGGAGTGTCACCAGGGAGTCCCTTTTTAAAGGGGCCTCACGGGAGTGTGTCTCCAGAGGCCATGGGCTGATGTGCAAATGCCTTCCATGACCCAGAGCCTCCGGAGGCCCTGTGTGGGGAGCGCTGTGGGCCTTGCTCGTCCTGTGTCCTTTCTGGATCTCTCACTCCATTGTCGCGAGGTCTTTGGCCAACTGCCTTCCTCATGGTTGGTCGTAACTATCAGGGCCCACCTATATGGGGAGTCTCGGGCTGGGGGCTCAGTGCTGCCCAGAGTAGTGGAGAGGAGAGGCGGAAGCTGACTCTCTCCAAAGGAAGCTATAGGACACTTAGCCAGTTCCATAGGAGGTGGCTCTGTACCCCCATGCTGGGCAGGAAGGGCACGGTACTTGGAACCGTTAACCCAGGAGTTGGGGACAGGGAGCCCCGCTCCAGTTCTGGCTCCCCCAGGGGCCACTGCGCTGAGCTTTCCTCTGGGGGATGCCGCCCGGTCTGAGAGGGCGGGTCCGCGTGGGCTGTAATGCCCAGGGCGCTCCTTGGGCAGCACAATGGAGCCTCCCCTAGTGCTGGCAGAGTGGCCATTTCCAGGTGTGATCCAATGACCTTAAAAAGATCATAAGCCACCTGAGCCCACGGGCAGGGCACAGGATTCCAGGAGGTGACCCAATAGCTACTGTGACCGTCATCTCTATCCTCAGACTTGGCCCTCGTTGAGACAAGCCCTGTTCCCCCATCAGAGCGGCAAGCGGGGACAAGTGGGGGTGGCGGGTCCCCTGCGAGCTGGGACGGGTCTCTTCCTCACACGAATCGAGTTCACTTTTCCCTTCCTTTTGCTCCCCTTCCCCCCAAAGCTCAGCTCCATCTCTCATCGTTTGTGTTTGAATATTTTTAAAGAGGAAAAGTGCAATAAAATCAATAGTGACTGTTTTCTTTAGCAATAGCTATTTCAAAATCTTGTTCTCAGGACTGCAAAGCGATAGTACCTGGATGAGGAGGTAATGCCCTTTGGCTTCTGGCCGCTCATTCACTGTCTCTATAGTTCTCTCTAGTTGCCCCAAGGTCGCGCGCCTCCTGTCCTAAGGCTCTGACCCTCCTGGAATGTAAACCCTGCTGAGGCACAGTGTACGCACAAGGGAGGTGAGGGAGAAGACTGCCTTTGTCACTGGTCTCCTTCCCGTGTGTACCTCTGTCCGCCCCTGAGTGCATCTCTGTCCCTGTCTCGCTGCCCCGCCCCCTTTCTGCCTGCCCTCCCAGGGTGTTCTCACAACCTCTAGGAGGGACCTCCCGGCAGCCCGCCCCCTTGACTTCCAGCCAGCCTGGAAGCGGTAAGGAATGCCTGCGGAGAGCGCTCCCCAGCAGATAGGAATAAAGCATCCTGAGCCGGGACAGAAGGTCATTTCCACGACCTGAAAGCCATTACTTGATCCATTTGTTTCCTTTCCTCCCCTCCCCCAGAGAAATGGATGCTGGGGGAATGTGGCCTGGAGTTCGAACCTGGGATCGGCAGCCCAGGCAGGTTTGGGGCATCGCCCTCTGGCCATCCTTCAAAATAAGCTGACTTGCTTTTAACCAAAGGGACTCCATGAGAGCCGTGGAGGGAAACAAGTTATTGTGGTTAGAGGTCGATAGGGCGAGAAATTGCGGTGGTTCGGACCTAACATTGGTGACATAGAGACCCCCACCCCCCACCCACTACGGCGTGCAGTTGCACAAATATTTGCACACGTAACGAGGGGCTTCAGAAGAGGCTGCTTTTCTGGGGGGGGGGGGGGGGCGGGGAACAAACCCTGTGAGGTTAACTGTTCAGGCTGGACAATCGGAGAAGGGCGGCAACCCTGAGTCGCACCCACCTCTTTTCAGTCTACCTTGCTCTCTGCATGTGTGCACCGCGAAACCTCAGTTAACAGACGGCGAAATCCTCAGGGAAGGGGACGTCCTGCTTGCTTTACAGTTCTGGTTATTAGAGTGGGAATGGGAAAATATGTTTTGGTCAACCCTTTGTAAGTGCAGATGTCCTAAGTAGGTTAGTCTAAACTTTCCTGCCTTAGTAACAAGCGTTCGAAGACGACAGATGACCTGGCGTTGCTCAGGGTCAACATTGTGAACCTCAGTGCTCACTGTACGGAAGTGCAAATGGACAAGACCAAAGAGACAGGCCACCTGCGAGCCGGCTGCCAGCCACCCCTGGAAGCTGGCTGCCTGGGCACGGCGTGTCTCATCAGATGCCCTTGCCCTCGTTGGCCTCTTTCTACTGAGAGTGTAGTCAGAAGACAGAATCCTCACTAGAGGAGGTGTTGGTTCATGGGTCCTGAGTTATCAGAGGTTTTCCATATATACATATAACTGTGTATATATATGTATAGTATATGTATATATGTATACCATTATTTAAAAATTAGACAATTATACAGTCACCGGTCCCCTTCGCCTCACTGATGTGGAATACCTTTGGCAATCCAAGAAATAAACTGAATTCATTTGAATTGTGCAAATGACCTTCCTTTGCATCCTCACCACCTCTCCAGTTCAGCTTCTCCCTCTGCGCAGAGACCTCTGCAGAAGACAGTTCTTTCATAACGAAAGACCCGGCTCTGGGCTCTTTCCCTCCCCTCCCGGCTGGCTGCCTGACTCAGGAATACAGGGAGGTGTGAGCAAAGGGCCAGGTGCTCACCCCTTGTGCTGTCCGCCCTAGTCGGCTGTCACCTCGTCGCCAAGGACTGGGACAGTTACTGCAGACTGTGTAGCTCAGGGGAGGGGGAAGCTGGGAGAGCTGGCAAAGGACCGGTCTGCTGTAGCTCTGTCACTGTCGTTCGGTGGCGGTGCCCTAGGCTTGAGTTTCATGAGATCTGAAAGTAGCCTTTTGCTAGCGAATGTGTCTGCCCCATGGAAGGTGAGATGCGTGGCGATCGATGGAACAAACAAACCCTCCCTGTTGTTGCTTTTGACCAAATCTAGGTTGCAGACGTGGGCAGTAGAGTGGCCGTAATTTAGTTGCCTCTTTGGAGAAAGAGCTGGGTCCAAGAAGAACCATGTTCTCTTTCACTGTCTTGCCTGGCAGCATCTTAGACCCACGGGAGACAGTTCCAGCCTCACCTCGCTGTGTGCGCTCTCCCTGGACAGGGGCGGGGGGATCCCTCACTGGTACCTGGGGGGATCGAGAGGGTGCAGGGGGGCCTGCCATCTCCCAACACTCCCAGCAGCCCACGAGCTGGCCAAACTGGCCGCGGTCAGACGGAGAAGTCCGTAAACCAGACTGCTCATGACCAGCTGGCAAACGGGCTGTTGGGGCAGCCTGTCTGCGTGGCCACTACTCACGCTGCACAAACCTCGGCCTGGAAACAGATGTAAACTTCTGTGCCCCTCTGCCCTCCTAACATAGTCAGATATGTTCCAGGTGAGTTTGCATCATTCCACTGACGGATGCACCAAGGGCAGGTGTGCTTACATAACAGTGTGGCCAGCTGCTACGGCATCGAGATAACAGTGGACACGGATAACAGATAAGAGCGTGCTGTGGACATGGCTCTGTGCTGGGACCTTTGGGAGCTACCCAGAGGACTCAGCCCTGCATCTCTCCTCGGTCCTTGTGAGAGGCCCCCGGGCCCTGCTTCTTGAAAGCAATTCCCCGGACACGAACTGCCGTGCTTGCCTGAGCACAGCAACCCTCCAGGCCGCTAGGAAAAGCCAGAGGGGGAGCTGGGAGGCAGAGAACATTCAGGGGCTTGCTTCCTTACCAAGCAATTGCCATGTCAGCTGCTAACGCGACTGCCTTTCTAGCCTGTGACGTGCAGGGCAAGGACAGAGCCCTTTGAGGGTGGGACCGGGGCAGGCGGCCTCAGTCCGGAGCATTGGGAGAGAGGCAGGGAGCGGGCCTGGCTGGTTTGGTGTGTCGGCTGCAGAGGGTCTGAACGCGCTCTGTGCTTGCCCCAGTTCTGCCTTCACGTGGGATCTGGCGACCCAGTTTCCTTTGGTTGCCTTGCTTGGATGATTCCTTCATTTGAAGGGCCCCAGGAAGCTGGAAAGCCCCATGATCGAGCTCCAGCCTGCTGAGCAAACAGTGCCCCAGCCAAATTGGCCTCGGCCTGGGGTTCTGCATCCCTGCACCCCTCTGCTCCAAGGGCAATCTTGGAACAGCCAGGATTCATGGTGCCAGCCACCGAAGAAGACTCTCTCGCTTCATCAGGGATCCAGCTGTAAAGCTCAGAAGAGCAGGATGCTGTTGCCTTTTCTAGGCCTGTGTGCTTACGTGCTTATACAGGCTGCCTGTGCTGGTTTTGTGTATTACACACACACACACACACACACACACACGGATAGAAAAGGTAGAAATGGCCACTCACGCAGGCTCCCACAGCCCGGACTCTTAATTCGGGTTTGCGTCGGCTTCCTTTCTGCCCGTGCAAGCCTGCGTAGCCGCCCTCCCGCATCCTGTCTCTAATAATTGCTGAAAACCTGAAGAGGAGAGGCTGATAAATAAACCTCCCTGGGATCAATAGGAGAAGGAATGCCAAAGCTGATGGTAAAGCTTCGTAAAGGATGATGCCGAAAGGGAACCGGGGTCTCCATGGTGATAAGAGGCTGGGGACCAATAGGAATGCGTAAGGCGGAGCAGGACTTGTGGGGAAGACTCATGGGTGTTGGGAGTCATTTAACTATTTGTTTGCTTCATGAAAATTTAGACACCAGCTGTAACTGCGTTGCACAGGATGTATAGCTATTATCATTCTTGCTGACATATTCTGGAAGCTTTCAGCCCCACCAACACTGCCCCACCCAGGACTTCTGCAGCTGAGAGTTCCGGTGTCAGTAGGGTCTGATATTTGTACATAGGTTATACATATATGTGTACATATGTGCCTCAATGAACATTGCCTGTCCACCTGATCGTGGGTGTACATAGACTTCATAGAGCTCCACCGTCTTTTGTAAATATCAACACAAGTAAATAAGTATATAAATATATATTACTGAGGATTTATTTTAACATCATTCTGTGTGAAACGAAAAAAATACAATAAAATTTTTGACAGACACTGAGCGTTTCCACATTCTTTCTCGCCAGACTGAGTTACTGTCTCGACATCACGCGCGTGTGACTTCCTCAGCGTCACACCAGGCTCTGCAGCCACAAGAGCCCCGCCAGAGAGCAGGCAGCACAGGGGACGGCTGTCCCAGGTGCACCGCGGGCCTCGGTCCAGCGCACGCAGAGCAGAGCCGGGGACTGCAGGGTGGCGGCTGGGTTTGAGGTCCCGTCCTGCGCCGGCTGTATTGGTGCTTCTTGGTTTTCTGTGGAGCTGGGGGATGCGTGGGAAGGGAGACCCAGATTGAAGCCCAAAGGCAGTCAGACCCCTGGGAGCTGAGCTCCAGCTGCACCCGCCTTTGCAGCCCACGTTGTCACGTCACCCCCACTCCGCCCACAACGGCCAGTGCCCAGCCGTCTGGATCAACCAGACTCGGCTTTCACGGGAGCGGCCCGTCTCCCTTGGCCTCCCCAGGAGGAGGTGCCTGGTTCTTCAGCCATGCAGTGATGCAGAGGCACCTCCTGGGGGAAGATTCTGATATCCACACGTGCACACACAGAGAGAGACACATGCATGCACACACACACACACACACACACACACTGTGCTGAGGCATTTCCGTCTGGTTTCCTCCGAGGGCCAACCTAGTTTGAAGCCGGATTCCCCAGCATGCAGGTGGCTCAAAAGTGGCCCGGGTGCAGGCTGTGACAAGTCCTTGCCTTCAGCCACCAGCAAACACGTTCCACCCCCTCGTCTCTCTTTCATGATCTGCAGTTATGCCCCTTCACACTGTACCGCGCTCCGCCCCTGGGAGACCCACCAGGGGAAGCTGATTACGCAGTGTGGAGAGCACCCACGGAGCACCCAAAGGGCTCTAGGCTTCGGCAGAGCAGCACAAGCTGACCAGTGGCACAGGGCTCCTTCTCCCCCCAAGGCCAGGTCCTTCCTGCATGTTTCTCCTGCTGGACACAGCACCCCTGCCTCCAAGGAGCTGAGGGATGGATGCTGGGGAGAGCAGGTCTGGCCCTGACAATCTAGACTTTTCTAAGTAAACACGTCAGGCGGACAATGAAAGGGACTGGGATGTGTGGAAGCAACATCAAGCTCCCCATTCTTTTCTTCGCTTCGGGGTGGCAGGGGATCCAGGTAGTTCAGCGTAGGCTGCCCAGGCCCCCCCAGCCCGCTCCACCCTCCCTGCCAGGCCTGGGGTGCCTGTCCTGTGTACCCTCCGCCACAAACGCTGGGACCCTGGGCTTCCCCCTGCCCATTTGTCCTGATGAGGAGAGGGGCCTGATGGGGTGGGCTGCGGGGGGGCGAGCCCACCCTGTCCCAGGGTCTGGGGGGTGAGCAGGAGGTGCGAAGCCGGATTGGAACAACTGAGAAACACCACCGACCCTAAGGAATCCCAGCTCCATCACTCCCCAGCTCTGTGACCCTGGGCCTCCAGTGTCTCATCTCAACAAAGGGAAGCACGGCACGCCCCTTGTCTTGTGGAGATTAAATGAATGCCTGGCGCATGGTAGGAGCCCAGTCAGAGCAGCGGCGGCATCCTCTCTCTCGGGTTGCCAAGCCCGGAAGGTGCACCGGGACCGGGAGACTCAGGAATCCGAGATGTCAAAGTTGAAAGATTTTTCACCCTGACCAGTGTGGCTCGGTGGGTCAGGCATCACTCCGCACAGTGAAAGGTCACCGGTTATACTCCCTGTCAGGGCAC